TCAGATTTTAATTGTAGTTATTAAAATAGCCCATTGCTCTATAGAGCCATGAAAACACTAGATGCAAAATATTGCAGAAAGAGAAACACGTGAAAAACATTGATTGGTTGCCTCTCATACCTACAGCCTAGGTATGTGCCCTGTCAGGGAATTGAGCCCATTACCTTTCAGTGTATGAGAGACACTTCAACCAAATGAGTCACACCAGTCAGGGCAACCCTCAGTTTTTTAATGGTTATACAGAATAAGGTGTCATTTGGATAACAATAACACATATACATACACATTGCTATAAAAATGCATAGGAAACTTTTTTATCTCTGTTGTTTGTAATTAAAACCAGTGGCTGCCCTAGTTGGTTTGACTCAGTGGATAAACCATCAGCCTGGATTTGATTCTGGTCAAGGGCACATGCCCAGGTTGCAGGTTCGATCCCCAGTAGGGGGTGTGCAGGAGGCTGCTGATCAATGATTCTCTTGCATCATTGATGTTTTTAGCTCTCTCTTCCTCTCTATTCTTCTCTCTGAATAAGTTAAAAATATATAAAATAAAAATAAAAAACAGTGGCTGAAGGGATCAAGGCTTTTTTTTTGACTTTTTGCATTATGACCTTCTGTATCTTTTGATTGCTTTCTATTCACAGGTAATAATTTTTTTAAACTTGTTTAAAAGACTTTTTCTCATTTCTCGACCTGTCTTCCTTTCAATAGCAGTAGAGTGAGCTGTGATGTCCTGAACTTTAGACTCTTGATAAGTAAAAACAGGGAAGAATATTGCTCTCTAGTGATGAAAATGAAGAAAGTTCACCTTGAGAAAGATGAGAGCAAAAATGAAGAATGAGCACCCTGACAACTTTTTTTCTATCTCTGAAGTTCTAACTTATACCGTCACTTTTCTTTTTGACCAGTAACTCTGAGCGCATCGCCCTTTTGTCCAACACCTACATGCATTTGTAAAGATGTTATATTGTGTGTGTTTTTTTCTAACTGTCTTATATTCACTCAGAATCTCAAGGAAGGGCTGTTCACTAAAACTTTGCCAATTTTTGTTTGGCCCACAAGATACTACAAAGAATCTGCTGATCAGGGAGAGAGGTAGGCCACCAGCCATGGAAGAACCCAAAACAGGTCATTATGCTTCTGTAAAAGCCCTACCCGGGGTCCCTACTGCTGACAATGGAGCATAGAAATCAGGTCACAAGTATGTTATGCCATATTTTCAGAAACAATAAATTGCCCTTTTCTCTGTATGACCCAAGCTGAAGAGAATCAGGGAGGAAAAGGAGAAGCCTAGGGAATGGCTTAGCCAGCCATAGTGTCAATCCTAACTATTGGAAAATCAGTCCAATGCATAAAAATTAAATAAATCAAAAGGCAAACATGGCTTTCAGAAATGTCCACTGAAATGACTCACATTTTCAGCTAATAAAAATAAATTAGTAGCCTGGCCGGTGTGGTTCAGTGGTTCAACATCGACCCATGAACCAGGAGATCATGTTCCTTTCTGGTCAGGGTACATACTCAGGTTCCATCCCCAGTGGGGGGTGTGCAGAAGGCAGGCCATCAATAGTTCTCTCTTATCATTGATGTTTCTATTTCTCTCTCCCTCAATCTTTCTCTCTCTGAAATCAATAAAAACATATTAAAATAAATTAGTTGGGCGGTTTAAGTATTAAATACATATTTAATAAGCTCTAATTTAGAATGCATTTTGATGGACCTTTAACTATGATTTCCTTTGTCTCTATATGATAGTTCTCCCACATGACAAAGAGCATCAAACTGAAATACAGAAATAAAAAGACCTAAACTGGTTTAACCAGATTGAGTGAGCCTTTAATAATGTTTCACTTGAGAATCATCAATACCCTATTGAAAAGATTAGAGGATAAAACAATATTCACTCCGTTGGAATAATTCTAATGCTATTTAGTGGGGGTTTTTAATGCCTTATTTCTAAATAACATTTGCAACTTACCAAGTACTTTCACACACTTTGTCCCCTTTTCATTATCTCATTGGTTATGAGGGAGATAGTCTTTTGCTCATCTTGGATGTGAGGACGTGAGGCCCAGAGGAATGAGGGATTCCTCACACATTACTAAGGGCCATCCTTTGACTCACTGACCCTATTGCAGATCTTAGATCCCAAACCCATAACTCTTTCCTTAAATATAATTATTTCTCTTTATGTGTCTGACAGTTGGTGTTTAATGCCAAATAGAGTATACAAAAGTCAAAAGAATAGTTATCTACAACTTGATAACTATGTAAATTGGGGAGGGGGCAGGGGCACACATGATTTCCCTAAATTCCACTTTCCTTATCTGTAAAACAAATATAAATAGTAATTTTTTATACCTCCTGTAAAATGGGTACATTACAAATAGTAACTTTTATAGTTTCTGTAGAATTTTGGTAAGGATCAAATGAGTTAACATGTATGTATGTATTTTATATAGAGTACAATTTAATGCACATTGGTTTTACTATATTTATTATATGAGTCCCTGTCTGAATTATATAAATTTTTAATATTCTTCATGTGAGAAAATACCATGAAGGAGAGAAGACCATAACACTTCTGGTCTTTGGTCCTACAGTGGGCAAGTTACTAAGCCCATCTAAACCTCTGAAAATAAGGCAATCGTGAAGATGAAATATGATGATATACGTCAATGATGTATTACAGTGCTTCACACATGGTAACTGCTCACCAAATGTGAACTTGATAATCCATTTAAGAAATGTGTCTATAATAAGGTAAACAGTCCATTTCATAGGTGCTGAATTTGAGTTAAGATAATGCTTAACCCCCATACTGACAATGCAGAGAATATAAGCCATGGTTTCCCAATTCCTCCCTTTATTATCAGTCCAGGCCCACAAAGTCAGCAGAATGAAGAATCCCTTGATTTTCTCCATTCTATTATCCTAAGTGAATGAAAATCAAACCACCCTGGGTTATGTTTTTCTGTTCTACCTACCAAAGTAATGTGCATTCATTTGACTGAACAGCTCTTATTTCTTTCTTCTTTGTACTCTGTTGCTTTCATTTTCATCCCTGGCAAGAGACCAATAAAAAAACACCACAAATAATTGGCCATAATTCTCAAGGTTACTCAGACCTACATTTTGGGTCTGGCATAGAAATCTGTGTTTTTTTCCAGTCTAACCAAGAGTTTTCTCACATGAAAAAAAAAAAAATGGTACAGTAGAGTGAATTGAGTTAGAAAATCCTGAGCTGTGATGTGGATCTTCTCACATATGTAACATGAGGTATGCTTTGGTAGACAGAATAAGCCTTCTTCCCAACCCAAGGTGTCCATGTCCTAATCCCCAGAACCTGTGAATATGTTACCCTACTTGGCAAAAGGGATTTTGTACATGTGATTAAGCTGAGCATCCTGGATTTTCTGGTAATCAGGAAGGAGATTATAAGAGAGAGGCAGGAGTGTCAAAGTCAGAGAAGGTGTCATATTAGAAGCAAAGGTGGGAGTGGTATAAGGAAGGCATCATGAGCCAAGGAATGCAGAAGGCCTGTAGATACTGGAAAGGGTAAGAAAAAGGATTCTTACCTAGAGTCTCTAGAAGGAATGCAGCCCTGCTGACCTGGATTTTAGGACTCTGACCTCCAGAAGTAGAAGGTCATAAATTTGTGTTCTTTTAAGCCTCTGTTTTTGGTAATTTGTTATGGCAACAATAGGATACTAATACTATGGGCTGAGTATCTTTTCTGAATCAAATTCTGAGATCTCTCAGAAACCTTGATAGGGACTAAATGTATGTGTCCTCTAAATTCATGTGCTGAAGCTCTATCAAATCTTCAATGTGATAGTATTAGAAGGAATTAG